AATCTAGCAGCTCCTATTTCTTACTCATTCTCTTCTGTGTCGTCATCCTTAAGAACTGTTGTTGAGTTACAAAATAATGGCACCGGCGTTGCCTGCATTGGGGATACAAACGCATGTTCTTCCATCGGTATAACAGGATCGGTTGATGGTATCATACTAACACACATAGATTTTAATCCACAGGGCACCTCAGCAAGTGCTCTTAATGATGAATGGCAACGTAACAAATACTCTTGGATTGGAACAACGTATCTTGTGGATTTTAAATTAGAAGATTGTCCTCCAGGTAAACATATGTTATAATCAAATAAGGGTTTTGTTAGCAGAAAGTGGTTAGGTAATGTATATAAATCGCTAAACTATTATATAATTAACTATAATGTATTCATAACATCATAATCTAAAGTCATTGTGGTTTGAGCATAATACATTAAAATTACAGTTCCATCCTTAACTTACTTTTACTGAAATACCTATTCCTGTTTTTCTGCATTTTCAATAGGATGTAGCCTCAAAGAAAGTCCTGGAAATGGATCTATCTACTGGAATGATCCAGACGAGATTCCGGGTAGTTTAGTTATATATCAATGCGATCTAGGTTTTATCTTGGATGGAAGTGAGAGGCGATGGTGTGATATGGAAGGCAATTGGGAGACTGAAATGCCCTACTGTCGTCCAGTTGATTGTGGCGATCCTAATTTGGGTAATAATGTCAATATTGCTGCAAATTCAAGCCTGCGTACTACATTTTGGGAGAAAATTGATTTGGAATGTGACGTTGGTTACGACATGTTTGGTAGTTCAACTATCGAGTGCCAGCATAATACACAATGGACTGCAATGCCTAGTTGTTTAATAAAAGACTGTGGCGGGTTTGGTTCACTTGTGCATGCGTATGAATCTCCTTCAACGTACACAACGACATATGACTCAACTGTGTATTTCAAATGTAACGACCAGTTTGCATCATATGATCGAATGTCTATTTATTGTAACGAAAATGCAGAGTGGATCGATCACCCACCAGTATGTATTCCGGACTGTGGAGAAACATCTGTGATCGGTGGCACACGCATTGATAACAACACCAAAACCACTATGAATGAGATAGTTGAGTTTGAATGCAATGAAGGATTCATAATGGAAGGTATTCCGACTAGGACGTGCTATGGAAACCATACTTGGAGTATACACCCGATATGCCACCCAGTCGATTGTGGTCCTCGACCCAACATATCCTTTATGTCATCAAGCACCTATACCGTTCACACAACAGATGTACAGGCGTACTCAGACGCTTACAATATTGATGTCTCGACGATGTTCAGCACCGAATTCAAGCCAGTTTGTGATATTGGTTATGAATTCATCAATGAGATTTCAACTCATTGTCTATCAAATGGATCTTGGACAGAAGCCCCGGTTTGTCGGAGAGTAGATTGTGGGACACCAAGCAATGTACTAAACTCTACATATAGTCCTGATCCCATTGTTGTGACAACGTACCTCAACACAGCCACTTACACATGTGAACAAGGGTTTGACATTTCTGGATCAGCAACAGTTACTTGTCAGGCAGATAAAACATGGAGCGAGTACCCCATGTGTGTTATCCGAGACTGTGGGGTGGCACCCACTGTCCTCAATGCCCATAGGACAGATTCCAACACATTAACAACCGTGTACCAGTTGATCCATTTTGCATGTGATATCGGGTTTGTAATGAAAGGTTCTGAAAAAGTCCATTGTTTAATACCAGGCAACTGGAGTTCCTTACCAACATGTAGCCCAGTTGATTGTGGAACCATCTCTGAAATCAACAATGGGACGAATGTGTTTTCGCTATTAGAGGAAGAAGCCGTAGAGACATATAAAGAAGACCATGGTCTAAATTATTCAACTCTATATAGTGCGGTGTATCATTACATGTGTGATGTAGGATATTTCATGATTGGAAGTTCTGAAGTCAGATGTCTCAATAATGCATTATGGTCTGATATCCCTTCATGCAAAATCCATGACTGTGGTTACCCGGATGTTGTCCTCAATTCAACCCACGAGCCAGATCCAATCGTTGTTACCACATATAATGAAGCTATTATATATACATGTGAAGCAGGATTTGATATCAAGCCTGATGGTGATACTGGTATAACATGCCAAAATGATGGCACATGGAGTGAATACCCTTGGTGTAAAATAAGGGATTGTAAAGCTCCACCAGAAGTAGGAAATGCAGAAAGAACTGATTCTAACACATTGACCACTGTATATCAAATTATACACTTTGAATGTGACACTGGATTTGAAATGCAGGGCAATTCAAACGTTCAGTGTTTAACATCTGGAAATTGGAGTGCATCTCCTGTTTGCCATCCTGTTAACTGTGGGGAGATCCCAGTGGTAGATAATGGACAGGCTGAGCATACACAGTATACCAATTCTGCTGTTAGTGATTTTGTAAAACTACACAACGATTCAATTGAAATGTATTTCAGTGCTGAATTTACATACACATGTGATATGGGATACGACATGAGTGGTGGGGACATTGTTAGATGTCTGTATAATGGAAGTTGGTCAGAGGTCCCATTATGCATCATTAAAGATTGTGGAATGCCTGATATAGTCAACAACTCTACGTCAAGTCCTGTGATGATAACCACATATGATAGTGATATCAACTATGTTTGTGATGCAGGTTTTGATCTGATAGGCGTTTCCACTATAAAGTGTCTTGAAAACGCCACTTGGACAAATGTTCCGTTTTGTCAAATTAGAGACTGTGGAGAGCCAAACGTGATAGCAAATTCTCACAGACTAGACACAAACAACCTTACAACAGTATATGAACAGTTCAAGTTTGAATGTGTTATTGGATTCGAACTAGACCAAGGTGATGGAATAATTGGATGCCAAACATCTGCATTATGGACCAGGTTACCGATTTGTCAGCCTGTGGATTGCGGGATGATACCCCAAGTTGATAATAGTAATGTTTCCTTTGTTCAGTACAACAACCTTGCTGTGAAAGAATATGTGAAAAATTTGACTACCGAGACTCAAAATACTTTTGCAGGTGCAGTTCACACATATGAATGTAGTGAAGGTTATGATTTAGATGCTTCTTTTAATATATCATGCTCTGACGAAGGCTTGTGGTCGGCTCCTCCATATTGTCAAATTAGAGATTGTAAATCCCCCGGAGTTGTACATAATTCAACCCACTTACCAGAAAATTACACTACGACTTATTTGTCAATTATAACATATACTTGCGACCCTGGGTTTGATTTGGAAGGCTATGAATCAATATCTTGTCTTTTAAACACATCTTGGACTGACAAACCTTACTGTAAAATCAAAAACTGTGGAATGCCTGTTGATATTGATAACTCTTTCCCACCAGAACTTCTCAAAAGAAACGAAACCGTTTTCCTATCGTCTGCACGATACAATTGCATTGTTGGATATAACATGTATGGAAATAACACAATTGAATGTACTGACCAAGGTATATGGACCCAGGAGCCTGTTTGTAACATAACTGAATGTTACGACCCTCCAATAGTTCGAAATAGCACTTGGAAACCAGTCGTCATAGAAACCACAATGAATCAAACTAACCACAGTGCACCCAATATATATAATAACAATATATATAACAACATAAATACAACATGGATAACCACGTACAAAAGTATATTCGTGTATACTTGCGATCCTGGTTTTACCTTATATGGCAACCCTGCAATTACCTGTAACGAAACAGGTAACTGGTCAGCCCTACCAGAATGTACCATTAAAGACTGTCTTGATCCTCTGCCCGTCAATAATTCAATAAGATACCCGGATGATGTCAACATGACAACTGCGTTCACATCTGTGGTCGAATATGAATGTGACCTTGGATATACCATGATGGGAACACGTGTCATCACATGTGATCAAAATGGACGGTGGACCGTTCAGCCAACTTGTGAGATTAACAACTGTGGCCTCCCAAATGATATACAATTTGGAAACATATCTCTCCTAAATGGCACCACTAACCATAGGGATATGATACAGTACATATGTGAAGATGGGTATTATTTGGAAGGAAATGATATGGTTAGGTGTCGAGCCAATGCGACGTGGGATGCATTGCCACCTGTTTGTTTACCAGTTGATTGTGGAACCATTGCCATAGATGGAGGTTGGGTGAACGATTACAATGATGGTAAGATACCAACATGTTGCTTATCAGCATACTGACGGATGAGCATATAACTTGTATAAAGTGACGCTTAAAAGAATGCGTAGTATTGCCCAATCTTTTCGCAAATATATATTTCCAATTAATCAATATTATTCTAATAATTTGGTATACCTCGATAATATTGTAATCTGAAAGATTGTGAATTTTACATCAAAATGTATATTTGAAATATATCCATAGGTACGGCATTCAAAGCAAAAGCAACAGTCGAATGTGCTACTGGATATGTGATGATTGGTAATGACACAATGGTCTGCGAGGCATCTGCAATATGGAGAACAACACCTGAATGTTCCTTTGTTGGCTGTGGTCCACCTACATCAGTCTCAAATGGTATGGTTCGCTCCGGTCCAAACGATAAATGGTACACTTCTGGTGAGCTCAAGGGGGAGACAAATATATCAACTATTTATGGCAGTACTGTGGAATATAAATGTGAAAGTGGATATGATTTATTTGGAGATAGCCAAATGCTTTGTCTTGATAGTGGGTTATGGACAGTAGCTCCCGTTTGTCAGCCAAAAGACTGTGGGCGACCTCCATTGGTTAAAGGTCTGCTTGTACACAGTATGGACAACACAACTTCATATGGCTCAATGATCAACTTCACTTGCGAGTATGGATATACAATTCATGGCACTAGTAGCATTTCCTGTGATGGCAATGGGAACTGGACTGCGTTACCAACCTGTGAATTGATACTCTGCCCTGAAATTGACCCAAGTATTCATAATGCAACGTTTTACGTCATTTTGAGAGAAATACAAATTCTTGATATGAGGCCCATTGATGTATTTGTCCAAGGTAAAGAACCAATAACAGATGATTACAGTGATGGCAGTGGGTTGGACGATGACGTCAGTAAAAACAGTGATATCAGTGAAAGTGGTGACGTCAGTGGGGGTGGCGAATTGAATGGAAGTGGAGGCACCAGTGGATATGGAGACGAGATTGGAAGTGGAGAGCCCATAAAATATACTACAGACAGTACATTTTCTAGCGGTGTTACTGATGGGCTACTTGATATACATAATCAGGGCATTTCTAATAACAATGAAGCCTTTTTAAGTAAACACATGCAAACTGCTATGAACCCAGTTTTCATTAGACTGGACAATATTTCAAGACTTGTTAACGCTACAATAGATAGCATTGTAGCCTACACTTGTGAAGTAAATGCTGTTTTGGTGGGGAATCAAAATGTGACATGTCTTCCCAATGGGACATGGTCGCAAACACCAGAATGTCGACCCGACTGTGGTGCCCCACCTCCATACCCATTTGGCAACCCTAACGCAAGAAAGGGCCGACCGACTGCATCAGTGACTTTACTCGACAACACTTGGATGGGAACATTATACAAAAGCAAAGCAAGATACAATTGTACAGTAAGGTATTTCGGCATAAAAGGGGTTGATATCGCAACATGTAAACTGAATGGAAAATGGTCTATTGAAAATATTAAAACAGATTGCAGTTTTATAAATTGCTTTGAGATTCCCAACGTAAAAGACGCCATAGTAGTACATAAACCAGAAAATACATACCTCGGAGCTAAAGTTGTATACGAGTGTTTGTCCAATACAACACAAGCTGAAAAACAAGACATCACACCACAGTTGAAATACATTTACCCGGTGGCTGTACAACAGAAACCTAAAGGACCCAACAGTATTTATGTAACGGAGTGTCTACCAAATGGTTGGTCTCCAATTCCAATTTGCGACGAATCAGCAGATGTTAAAACTACTCTGAGCCCTCAGACCAAAACACCTCAAGGAGCATTGATCGACGTTGCAACCATTCCTCATGTTTCGACTGTAACCATGCAATCAACAATGGATACAAGTGCAGCATTGGTTGACACTAACACAGCTACAACAACATTTGGAGCCTTAACAACAATTGAGCCTAATACTAAGTATAAACCTATAAAAAGGATTCAAATTCCCCCAGAGGAATCGCCAGAGAGTCTATTAATTGGACCACCTTGGTTAGTTATTGTAATAAGCTGGTTTATCTTCATTGCCCTGACTGACGTACCAACAATATATAAGCATGTTAGAATAGCGTGTTTAGATATTAAATCATATCGAAAATATACAGCACATCAAAGTAACAAAATAGATTCATGTGATACATGATCACTTGTGCATTATCACTCAACTAAACCTTGCATTTGGTGTTCATGAGCAGCCCGTTTGGCTTATTAGTAATGATTTTGTTATTTGTTTTTTTATTTGTATGTTCCTTATGAATGGTTTATCGGATGACTGTTAGATGTTAATAAGGTACTTCCAAAAATATACTTAACAATACAATTGGACAAACAGAGTATCTTATGCATTTCTAGGGGTTAGGTATAGTAGAGTGATCATGACGTGAAATATACTCTCGTTCTCCCCAAATATAGAGCGTTTTAAGGTCACCCTTTATTGGCAGAACATATCATAACATGTAGTTACATCAACTCTTAATCGTAATGCAGTATGTGACTGTCGTTAGGGTTATTGAAGAGATTAAATAGAAGGCAGCTGCAAGTCAAACAAACAATAACACTTTAAGTAAATCTTCAAATGAATGAACAATGCAAAGTTAGAAACATAATGTATGAAACTTAACATTAAAATTATCATTAACACGCAGTATTAACACATTTTGAAGGGCTCTGCCCATACGTTATGTTTTAGATGGTGTGCTTAAATGGTTATATAATATTGTCTGCAAAATAAGGTGATATATAAAATAAGGAATAATAAACATAGGATTACGCAGATGGATATACACAATGCTAGAGCAAGGTATTTTAGACAACTTCTGTAACAACCAAAATGTGTGGAAAGGAGTGGTATCGATATGGAGAACTGAATTCAACAATGATGTTCTCTTAAACCAATCATAGAAAACATTCTGTAAAAAACACGGTATTTTATGTAATGTTGACTGATTGACAACAATTTAATGCGAAAATTATTTAGAAATATTTTATATAACTGTTTTTGTAAACATTTTTTTAGTGCAATTGTTTTTGCTCCTTTCTACCAATTCTTGAGAATGAAATAAAATGTTTTTCCGAACCTTGTTGGAACAAAATAGCAAATACAACATGTTTTTAGACCTCTCAATATAATACTTATACAAAGGAATTTTGGGTTGATTTTAAAAAAGTATTCAAATAATTTAAACAAAATCCCCCCAAAATTGATAAAAATCAAGATAAACATTTTATTTCATTAACAAGATACTTTTTTTTAAAATCAACCAAAATTTTCATTGAACAATTACAATAGACCTAAACATGTTGTGTTTATGTCGTTTTGTTCCAATGAGGTTCGGAAAGATGTTTCATTTCACTCTGGAAACATGATACCAACAGCAAAACAAGTGTTTGATGTGTTTTCTAAAACAATATAGATGAAAGTATATATATATATTTTTAAATTATATTGTAACCGTTCAAAAGATGACCATTAAATTTTAAAGTTTTTAGATTTTTTTATGACTGGTTCAAGAGAAACGTGTGTTCAAAAAGTTCTTCATATCGATACCACTCCTTTGGAATACTGAGTTCAATGATTTGAATTGGTCAAAAATTTGGTATATGGGGAAGAATATCAAAGAAACAAGAATTAAAAGTTTAGTTTATAAAATTATTCATCGTGCATATCCAACTCAAATACATTTATACAATTGGAAAATAAATGTAGTATCAAGAAAATGTAAAAGTTGCTTAGATGAAAATGACACATATGAACACTTTTTTGAAAAATGCAGGAAAGCCAAAACTTTGTGGAAAAATATAAATAAAATTGAAGATTAAGTTTTGTAAATGTATTCGATTAACTGCAAAACACATCTTGTTACTGTATAAACACAAAAACAAATATGAAGAAAATTATTGTAGTTAGTCATTCAAATAGCGAAATTGTGCATCTCCAAATTTAGATTTGGTGAGCATCCCAATTTGCCAATGCTATTTGACTTTGAAGTAAGATTACGATAATTCATTCAATTATTTTTCCAATTATATAAATGTATTTGGGTTGGATATGCAATCATAATTAGTCATTCAAATGGCGAAATTGTACATCTCCAAATTTAAAAGTGAGCATCCCAATTTGCCAATGCTATTTGAATTTGAAGTAGGATTACGAAATGTCATAGTATGGGGAATGTGTGTTGAAATGTTATGTATGTGTGAAATAAATTTGAATTGAAAAATCATCCTGTTCACTGTTCAGTAACTAGTATGACAATAACAATTCACTTTTATACTGTATTTTTTTTAATTAAAATCAATGTAACATATTAGAAATACAGTGCGTAATTTTCATTAAATATAGGCCTACGTTGAATCTCGATCAGTAAAAAGTTAGAAAAGATTACCATAGAAACGATAGGTTGGCAGGTAAGGATCCTATTAAAGTGTTTGCTTGCCTTTCGATTAAGCCATTTTAATGAGACCTGTGGAATACACGGACCGGTTGGTGCTCCGTGGGGTCGGTCTTTTTCGTAAACCCAAAATAAAACGGTCGAAGAAAAAGTCAAATGAGGAAAATGATAACACGCAGACAATGCAATTAAAGGTAAAAAGAGCGATTACGTAATTGTTTATGAACTGGTGCTCTAGTAAGTTGAATTCAGTGTTGGAAATTTTTACGCAAATACATATCCCGTTTTTGCGATTTTGAAGTTTCGCGGTTATCAATTTTCGCTCATTTTTAGTGTGTTGAAATTTAGCGGCCATATTCATTTTCACGAATTTGAAACTTTTAAAAAATTTCCAGCTTCTCACCCCCGTTTCAATATTAGCCGCATAATTTTTCGGCCTTTTAGGTTATAAATTTGTCATTATTTTGATTTTCGACCATTAAAGACGTACTTGGATCTGTGCACGCAGTTCGAATACCGCGCCGTGAACATGAACACATCAACATAATGTTATTTTATTGCCATAATGATATCTTCTTCCTCAAAGAGGCAACTATTACATTGATAAATCCCCAGGATTAAACGGATTCACAAGTGAAGACGTCTTCTTGCAATTCTTGCGTTTGGCCTACCAAAAATGAAAAAGCCTCCTTACCAGTGTCACACCTCAGTTTATTTTTTTCGGCACAAGATTTTCTAGTATAGTTGTATTAGGCCTATGCATAATGTAAATGAAACAAATGGGCTATAAACAGCCTGAAAATCATCAAAAAGTTCAACAATACGTCTTGCTGCATAGGGTTTTAGCAATGGTTTTGATTATAACCATGGGCTTTCAACTCTAATTGAAAGCCCATGTTTAAAACTTCTGACATGAACGCTAGCGTAAGATATACTGTAAGGAAGATATGAATACTTTCTGTTTTATTATTTGAGGCTTTGAAAACCACGAGTCTTCGATAATTTTGTTTTCATACTTATCTAGTGTTTATTACCTATCTAATGATTATCCATGACTTTTAAATTTCCCGCATATTTTCATAACCGGAAGTTAATCCAAATCGAGGCAAAATTAGGAAAAATTGAAAAAATGCTGTCTTCATATTTTGTACATTTTTATCTCGTTAGGAATTGAATTGTTCAAAAAATACAGAATAGTAGAACAGCGTCAAATTTGCTTGCGTGGTTGTGTTTAAATGTATGCGAATACGTGCCAATGGACGGAGAGACGTTGAGAAGTAGAGAGTAGTTAAAAAACTCAATTATCACCCACGGCTTCGACAGACACTTTCAACACATTGTAAGCATTCTTGATTTATTTGCGATGGTTTATTTTGTACATGTATATGTACAAAAACCACCTTATATCGTTGCAATGTAATTATGTGAGGCGAAATGCAATGCCAGATCTGAGTCAATATGTTTTAGTCTGTGTCAATTTACTGAACACAGCTGGCTCAAAAGCCAGCTGACACACCGTTAGAATATACCGGCTTGTGAAGAGTTTTTCCCCAATTTCCAGCTGGTGCGCTGGCATAAGTAACGGTATTTAGGAAGATAATTGAATATTACTTGCCCTTTTTTTGACGCGTGGTGTCAACAAGTCCTACTACTTTTTTCAAGGCCTGACTTCGTCGCTAACATGCTAAATATAAGAGTTAGCTGACGTTTGGGAGTCTGACTTACCTTCTAAAGGTTGGAACCCGAATCTTAATGAAACCATATCACCCCAAGTAAAAAGACATGGCAATTCTCATGTAATAATTGGTTTAAAGTGGGAATATCGATTGCCGAGTCGTATCCAATGATCCTGGGCCTATCGTAAAATGAAAGCTTTGAATATGTTGTTGCCTTTAAAAATGTATCTATTTTCCATGTATGCAACTAGAATTTGTGCACATACCTTATAACGATTGATAATGTCAAAGGAAAATCCTCTAATTCTTCGTCATAATTTCTCCTTCGATGTCCGCCATTTTTTATTAAACCGGAAGTTTTTCTCTGACGTCCGCGCAATGTTTTTTCACTTTTATATCAGATTTCGCTTCGGATTCAACATTTAATGCTTTCTAATATTAATTTAGTGTTTTCTATCAGAAAGATTTCATAAAAAGACTCACACTATCAGAGATTTTATGGATTCGAGCAGCCAGAAAAATTAGTTTCAATTTCACCCGCTAGGTGTTTCGACGTCGAATTGGAAAGAATTTGAAAAATCTATGAGTGGGACTCCTTGTATGGAATTGTTGATTCTAAACGATTTGCCAGTTCTACTGGTTGATGAATATTGCCATATGCATACATTTTTATAAAATAGGAATAAGGAAGAAGATGTTGGACCAAACTTCACCCCGATAGCTCAGAAAAGGTAAAATTTCTCCATTTTTCTCTCCACAGACCTTAGAGCCGCTTTAACTTTGGTCTAATAATTATGCATTTTGATAAAAGTTAACCTATTTGTTAAATGAGCATTAAATCAATGAAAGTTGAATGCCAATAAATAGCTATTTATTACACCTATTTATTATTCTAACAACTATGTTATAATGCTCTTTGAATAATTGGGTAACTTTTTGTCATCCTTGCTACCCTAGGTGATAAAAATTAGCTAATTGTTAAGATTGGACTTATAAGAAATGTGGCAGTGAGTATTAGCAAAATATTAACTTTCCCGCTCTTTTTAAACCAAAAGAAAAATGGCTGACAAAGAATGTTCAACTGTAAGAGATTTGGGTAATTTTATGATTTTATAACAATAGTATGAAAATGACCAATCAAATATAGATTCAGAAGTTACTGACATACTTGAACATTCTGCATGTCTACTTTGTGAGAGGTAAAATGTAAGTATTGCTGTTTTATTCCAGTTTAGATGGGCAAATCTTCTTTTCTTTGTGAATTTATGAAGGTTAAATTTTAATTCTTCATACAGTCAAACTGGTCAAGCATAAATGTGTTGTGTATGACCAATTGTACCATGCAGTAAAAATTATAAGGTATTTTATAAAGATTATGAAGATAAATACTGCTGGAGGCCTAGCCTAGAGGGTCCTTCAATAACTGTGAGCCTTCTGGCCTTCAGGACAATTCTGAATAGGTAAAATTATCAGTGATGTCCCATAATAATTGCTTATATCATCTTACATACCCAGGGCCAACCTAAAATGAAAAATTTGCGTGAGATTTCCAAAAATTGTGGTACTTTTACAGGAGATTTTTCCAAAATCTGGTAGTTTTAAAAAAATTGGTAGTTTTCGCCGTAGATTTTTAAAAATCAGGAGTTTTTTAGGTGAATTTTGAAACAACTGGAGTTTTTACGGTAGATTTGAAATAAAACGGTACTTTTTTAAAAAAGCGGATTATCTCCAGTTTTTTTCTAATAAAAGCAATAGTTTTTGCGGTAAATTCTGCAAAAAGTGGTACTTTTGTGGGAGATTTTTACAAAATCCGTATAGTTTTTGCAAGAAATTTTGAAAAACTTTGGACTTTGCCATGAATTAATTTATACGCTTTGCATGGCCAGATTTGAATATTCACGCAAATTACATATACGTCACACATTTACTTCGAATTTGTGTGTCCCTACCCACCTAATTTTACATATTATTTAATGTTTTTGGTTCTTATAGTAGAAAATAAATTTTGTAGACCATAATGCATCTTGGGTAAGAGTAATGCAACAAATAGGTTTTAAATAGCTAATAAATAGGTAATACTCTGTTAATTCTTAGCTAACGAATACCTAAAAAATTTATCATGCAAATTAGAGAATATTACCACAATAAATATGTACAATATTTAGGTAATATTCTGTTAACATATAGCTTATTATTGGAAGATAATCAATACATGATTATTAGATTTCTAATTTTACCTAATTATTACAATGTAATTTTCATTTAATAATCAGTCAATATTCTACATGAGCGTTGAATGTTAACAATACCTTATTATTAACACCTATTTATTAACGTAATTCTCTCTAATTTGCATGATAAATTTTTCAGGTATTTGTTAGCTAAGAATTAATAGAGTATTACCTATTTATTGTCAATATTTTCCCATTGACTTTTTTCACTTGGGACCTTTGTTCCGTCAACCATGGAGCATTTGCCACAACATCCAAGAGGTAAATCATGGATCGAGAAAATGAATGATTTCCTTGTAAGTTCCGGAAGTTTCAATACGAAAAATTACCGAACATATGTGAAAACAGAATATTTGTTCGTTGTTTTCACGATTTACAGGTTCGTTTGTTCTTCAATGTTTTGGTCTAAATTATAAAGCATCACCAACAGGTCTTACTCTATTAATCGACTAATACAGCAGACGGCTCATATTTCTACGTAGCATTTCATTCAGACCAATAGTGGGAGTGTAGATCACGCAGTTTCGTTCGTTGCGTACTTCACTTGAAATTGGTAATTTTAAATATTGACTACTTCACTTAGCTTGGCGGATGTAGAACATTGCTTAATATTCTTTTAATTTTCACACCAGACATGCTTGGTTGACATGTCAACAAAGTAAAGTTCAAGGGTCAATGCGTTATTTCGTGATAACTACAACGCCTTCCCGGAAGTCAACATTGATGAAAAATGAAAAAGTCGGAAAAGCATTTACGCTAATTTCTATCAAATGCTATGTTTATGCATCATCATCGACGCAACAAAGGTGATATAGTTTCATTAAGATTCGGGTTCTAACCTTTACACTGGTGATCCACTCGATTACGCTGGTTACCAAAACGAACCGTTTTGGTAACAAAATGTCGGAAAGTCGAAGGCACGATTTTTCTTTTTTCCTTATTTCACGCGTTGTAGGCAGAATCCCCACGACGTTTTTTCTCACAACGTGCATCAGTATCATATGTTTTAGAAAATGTACATGTTTGCGATAAAATAGCTCAGAGGACAACAGAATCATCGATTTACTTCCTCACTTAAGTTACATAAACGGTTTTTCGAAAAACAGTTAAGATCTGCACTTTTAACCCAAACCGTTTATGTAACTTAAGTGAGGAAGTAAATCGAAGATTCTGTTGTCTTCTGAACTATTTGTTCGCAAATGTGTACACTTTCTTAAACATATGATACTGATACAAGTTTGTGTTAAAAAATGTCGTGGGAATTCTACCTACAATTGTAAAATAAGGAAACGAGAAAAATCGTACCTTCCGGATGTTCCGACATTTTGTTACCAAAACGAACCGTTTTGGTAACCAGCGTAATCGAGTGGATCACCAGTGCTTTAGAAGGTAAGTCAGACTCCCAAACGTCAGCTAACTCTTATATTTAGCATGTTAGCGACGCAGTCAGGCCTTGAAAAAAGTAGTATTTGTTGTGTAATTTGCAGATAAATTGGAAAAATTTCTGTTCCGGCACGCACCATCTTTTAATTTTTTGCGCATCCGCTCATAAACTTCTCTTCATTGCAATGCCAACAGAACTTCCCAGAGCTGACTTCTGTCAGCTCGGTAGAGTAAGTGTCAATAATCTGCAAAATGCTAATAAGCCCATATGGAGCAGATATATAATTTAACAGTGAAATAATTTGAATAGAATATTATTTAAAAACCTTAACATTTAGAAATAGATCTATGGTTTACAATTCATTTGAAAATTGAAAGGAACCTTCCTTGTTGGCCCCTGTGCCCCCTAGGAAGTCCCTTTATGTTGAAATACCCTGGGGCGACTGTCAGGCTGCCGCATTGACATCTTCCCTCTTTACCAGTAGTGCAGGTTTGTTGCTGTGCACTGGGGACCTTTTACATTAAAACATAGATCTTCTACTGTATATTAAAAACCCACCTACATGTATTTAATTGCAGAGGTTGATCCAAGGGAAAGATCAATACCCGGTGATTTCAGCGGGAAGTGGCGTTTCGTTCAATGGATGAGCTGCGCGCGCACGCATAAATGTGATTATCCAATATAATTAGGGGAGGGCTATTTGAAATAGTTTTTGGTCTCAGGCGCGACCCAGGGCTGTTGTCTTAAGGACATTTCGTTGAAAATGAGCCATTCGGCTGATAATTGGTAAGAGTTTGCGATCTTATAATGTATAACTGTTACTCAGACACATATTTTGACACGATTCTGTTGGAAATAAGCTTTGAACCGAGAGATATTCACGATTGATATGCACATTTTTGATTGTGCCATTGCTTTTCCATTGCACAATCCATGTATTGATAGAAGAGACATTAATAATGCAGATTGGTTTACCTTCAATACATGGCAGACACTACATATCGGTCTATTAATACCAGTTTGTGCCTTAAATAGTTTTATATTTCCATCCACGGCCTGGAGCCTGGGTGTGTTTGTCTCTTATGTGTATGCTTGTGCATGGACTTCTAATCACTAGCAGAATTTAACACGATGCAAACTCGACATTATAACTCATGCTGTAACATTTTGACTTCGCTGGAAAACAATAGGAATTATTTTTCTTGCCAATCAATCATGAATCACAATCAAAATTTCAGAATGATCAATCAGGCAATGGTCCAAATCAAGTTATAACATTTCAGCAAGAAGTCCGGTAGAAATACAGAATATTTAAACATCAAAGCTGAAAGTTAAAAGCTTATCTGTCAATTTTCTGTCTGCAAAAGAGCGTTTACATTTGACACAATAACAGACTGAGGCTTTGAAATCTAGGATTCCCCAGGAAAATATGACGTCATACTAATTAGCATAAGGATTTCCCTATTGGTCTGGGTCGTGCCTTGTTCGAAAACACAATCCATAAATACATGCTAATTTCTAAGGAGATAGGAAGTGTATAACGTGTTTATCGATTTTGTTTAAAGATTTAATCAAATATCAAATTGTTTAAGTGGATAAAGTGGTCACACTTGCTTCAATTCATAGCGAAATAGACGGATAGAAACTGACCGAATTCCCGATATCCTACCCCGTATTACTGTAGGCTATAAGCACAGTGACCTACAGAGGGCGCTATCACAAACAAGTACTGCACGAACCGATAAATTCCCGGGTATTGTAACGCCCTTGGTTGATCGAGGTCATTTAGCTTGTAAGGCGTGTAAAATTCTCACATGTTGTAATCAGATGGAGAATCTATAGAGACTTTCTCAGGAATAATATCCTGGCACTGAATAAACGCAGTGAGCCCAAAGCAAAGATACCAGTATTTAACCCCCACAACAAAATTTGGCTCAATGCAAGGTTTGATAGACATTGTCTCAGATTATAAAATTGCATGTACTCTACCTCAAACCACAAATAAATGTATAGAAAGATTTTCATAAAATTATTGGACCGACCCAAGGCCAACATATGCACTTGTCTTTCTGTGTTTTTTTTTTTTTCAATCAAAACTTATCTCTCATGATTTGGGGATCATACAAAGACACACGGTCCTAACTTCGACCGTTAATTTGAATTTTTGACCTACCAGGTGCTTGAAAATCAAGGATTGCGAGTCTCATACTGCAGAAAAAGCAGAACAAAATCTGTCGGTGCTTTACTTTATTGTAAAGAGTCCCTCGTTCTAGCAGCGTTTTGGTCCCCAGCTGTCAGAAGGCCTTCTTACAGCTGGGGACCAAAATGCCGCTGGAAGTAGGGACTCTGTTGAAGAGAATAATGTACCATCAGAAAGGGATTTGTGTTATGCTTTGAATGGAACAAGTTTGAAGAAAAACGGTGCAGTATAAGACTCGTAATCCTTGATTTTCAAACATCCGGTAGGTCAAAAATTCAAATTAACGGTCGAAGTTAGGACCGCGTGAAAGAATTACTTTAGATCTTTTTTCCATCCTTCAAGATTGGGCCTCGGGGGTATGGCACTATTAAGTGGAAAGAATTGAAATACCCTTTGACCAGGATGGTATTTTTAATGACCCAAAGCTTACATTATGTTGATTCTTCACAAGTCCATTACTTTTTTGATTTTATTGTATTATTAATTTGAACTAAAACATTTGTCTTTTAATTCCAGAGGAGATGGATTCTAAAGAAAAAGATGATGATATATACAATATCAAACAGGAGGATCTGAATGATGCACATTATCAACAATATGCAAATAATGATTCCACGCTTATTCAAGAAAACATTTATATAAATGGTACAGGCATCAAACAAGAACCTTGTGAAGATTATACAACAATTAAACAGGAAACATGTGAACCAATTTACAAAAGCAGTGAGGATTATATAGATATTGAACTTGATGTTAAGACAGAACTTTCAGACATTACACAAGTTACAAGCGAGGTAAAGAAAAACCTTTGCTCAGCTTCAGAGGAAACTATGGGATGTGAAATAGAGCCAAACGGACTATTGAAATCTGATGTACATATTGACAAAAATGCATTTGAAGGGTACATTCCTGATGGTTTTATATCTAATAGCGAATATAATGCGAGTGATGAAAGAGACCATACACTTGAAAGAAGTTCAAAAAAGCTAAATAAATCGAATGAATCATTTAGGTGTGAGATCTGTGGGAAGTGTTACAGTATCAAAGATGATTTTGAAGAACATGTTTTTTTGGTTCATACAAGAAAGCGACCCTTTCAATGTGAAACTTGTGAAAAAAGCTTTATGTCATCACCTATGTTAAAACGTCACATGTTGGTTATGCATAATGACAAAAAGCCTTTCAAGTGTAAATTTTGTTCAAAAAGCTTTCAGTGGTCTTCTCAATTAAAAAGTCATGAAGTCATTCACACTGGGGAACGGCCATTACAGTGTAACGTTTGTGATAAACGTTTTAAACAGACTGGTGCGTTGAGATATCACGAAATGATTCATACTGGGAAAAAGCCCTATAAGTGTAAAAACTGTTCAAAATGCTTTCCAAGATCTGCTGATTTAAAAATACATGAAACGCTTCATACAGACCTACGGCAATATGAGTGCAAGGTGTGTACCAAGAAGTTTAAATGGTATGGCAGTTATAAACTACACAAAAGAATACACATCACAGATAGTAAATTAAAGTGTAAATTTTGTGGAAAATGTTTACAAACAGCTAGTAGTTTGAGACAACATGAGATGATTCATACTGGAGAAAAACCTTTTAAATGCAAAATTTGTTTAAAACATTTTAGGCATTCTAGAACTTTGAACTGTCATATGCTTTTACATACTGGTAAGCCCTTTAAATGTAAAGTATGTGCAAAAGTCTTTCAAAGTGCTAACAATTTAAAAGTACATGAGCTCATTCATAGTGGAGTCAAGGCTTTTAAATGTGATACGTGCGAAAAATGCTTTGTAGATCCTTATAGATTGAAACGGCATAAAGTGACACATACTAAATCCTATAAGTGTGAAGAATGTCAAATGGGTTTCAGACGACTATTTGATTTGAAAAAGCATAAAAAAGTCCAACATGAAAGGACACGCAATAGGACAAAAAGGAACTTTATGTGTCACATTTGTGATCAATCATTTGTGAAGTTTAGTGCCTTAAAGTCACACAGACTGATACATAGTAACGAAAATGTGTACAATTGTAAATTGTGTGATAAGGTGTTTGAAAACTCAGGTGATTATGAAAGCCATCAATCTTTTCATAAAAAAGAAAACTTTAAATGTAAATTTTGTATGAAGTATTTCAATGACTGTGATACATTAAAAATGCATGAAATGTTCCATACTGGAGCAACACCATTTATATGTAAACAATGTCAAATGGGTTTTGAAACGAGAATTGAATTGAGAAAACATGAAATACTCCACTCTGTTAAACATAAAGTACCTAAATTAGACAAGGAATTTAAATGCAAACTTTGTTCAATTACTTTTATGCAGGCTTCTACATTAAAGATCCATGCAATGACACATTTTGAAGAAAAAACAATCAAATGTTCAATATGTGATAAGAAATTCTCAAGACGATTTGACTTAAAGATACATGAAAGGGTTCATAAATAACTGAGATAATTATGTTCTTTCTTCAGTTACATGTATGGATGCTAGTAAAACTCTACATTTATGTTGTATAAAAATACAAGGCATTAACATGACAAAATGTCACCACCTAGTTGCTCACAATATTATTTGTTCAAACTTAAGTCAGATTTGAATTTCTGAGAACTCTGTAGATGATTTTGAAAAAATGGTCAATTTGAAACAAGTTTTTTGACCCTGAGAATGTCATTGAAGGTGAAATCAGATTTGAACTTCTGAGAATTTGAAGAAGATTTTGATAAAAAATATTGGTCAATTTGAAGCAAGTTGAAAAAATACCGTTTTGACCTTGAGAAGGTTATTGAAGGTCAAATCGTTGTTGACCTTGAAAATGTCATTGAAAGTCAAATCTATATTCAGATTTGAACCTGTTGATGATTTTGAAAAATAATATTGGTCAATTTGAAGCAAATTGAAACAAGAACACAAATGTGTACAAAATGTCCCCACCAATGGGTGATCCCATGAAATGGTTATCCTGAAAATGAGTAGACAAGACTTTACCAACACAATTTGAGGACGGAAAATCCAAAATGGCCACCTTAAAATTTACCCAGAATGCCAAAAATTTAGTCAGTTCTAGATTTTCACACTAAGAACCACCCCTGAAAATTTTTAATTGATCCGTCACACAGTTAACTAGAAAACATGTTAACAAGACTTTACAGACAAGATTTTAGGATGGAAAATCCAAAATGGCTGCCTTGACATTTACCCAGAATGTCAAAAAACTAATCTGTTCCTAGATTTTCATACTAAGAATCATCCCTGAAAATATGACATTGATCTACCAAATGGTTCACCTGAAAACGCATAGACAAGACTTTACAGACAAGATTTTTGGACAGAAAATCCAAAATGGCTGCCATGACATTTACACAGAATGCCAAAAAACTAATCAGATGTAGATTTTCACACTAAGAATCATCCCTGAAAATTTGAAATTGATCTACCAAACGGTTCACCTAAAAACGCGTAGACAAGACTTTACAGGCAAGATTTTAAGACGGAAAATCCAAAATGGCTGCCTTGACATTTATCCAGAATGCCAAAAAACTAATCAGATCTAGATTTTCATACTAAGAATCATCCCTAAAAATTTGAAATTGATCTACAGAACGGTTCACCTGGAAATGCATAGACAAGACTTTACAGACAAGATTTTAGGACAGAAAATCCAAAATGGCTGCCTTGACATTTGCCCAGAATGCCAAAAAACTAATCAGTTCTACATTTTCATACTAAGAATCATCTCTGAAAATTTGAAATTGATCTACCAAACGGTTCACCTGAAAACGCGAAGACAAGACTTTACAGACAAGATTTTAGGACGGAAAATCCAAAATGGCTGCCTTGACATTTACCCAGAATGCCAAAAAACAAATCAGATCTAGATTTTTATACTAAGAATCATCCCTGAAAATTTGAAATTGATCCACCAAACGGTTCACCTGAAAACACGTAGACAAGACTTCACAGACAAGATTTTAGGACGGAAAAATCCAAAATGGCCGACAATAAAAAAGTGATTATGTGTTTTTGCTGATTTCTTCTTACAAAATTATCACATATAACTACTGTTAACAATAACATAGGCTTTTACAACAAAGTACATCTGAAATTATTTATAAAGCTACTAAATAGTTAAAGTATGAAAACTCAAAAACACCATTCAATATGATACAAAGTATTATCGTGCGCTAACTTTTCTTAAGACATTCAAAATGGCTGACATGACTGAGCTAACAGGTCCAAAACCTAATCAGATCTAGAATGAAGTGAACTGAACAATATGTTAAAGTTTTAAAAGCAACTGTGAAGCCGTTTTTCTTAAAGTTTGCAGACAAGGATTTTAGCATTTGACTTCAAAATGGCCGACAGGAAGTAGGTATCGAGTTAAAATTTTTTCATCCACATCTGTATGCCCTCATAAGTTATCCCTGAAAATTTGAAGGTGATATCTGTAGCGGTTTTGGAGAAAACTCCCGGACGTACGGACAGACGGACGGACGGACAGACGGACGGACGGACGTACGGACGGACAGACGGACGCGCCTAGGCCGACAATATGGCCCCACACTATGTGGTGGGGACATAAAAAGACCTCTTTGGACCTGAGAAGGTCAAATCTTTTTGACCTTTAAAATGTCATTGAAGGTCAAATCTATATCGAACTTTTGAAAACTTGTAGATGATTTTGAAAAATGGTCAATTTGAAAAAGACCTGTTTGACCTTGAAAGGGTCATTAAAGGTCAAATCTTACTTGGAAGTTCTAAGAAATTGTTACAGATGCCGATCGCCAATCAATCACCATCCACCTTCACAAAAAATGGTGACCATAACAATATGTCATCACTTTTTGGTAGTAGTGCCATAATTTTTGCTAAAAAATTTGTCAACACTTCTGTAATATTCAGTGTTTCCAGTCTGTTTTGTCCATGGTTAGAAGTAAAAGCTGTTAATATATCAAAGTACGAAAAGGCCATTGGTTGGTTCATTGGCCATTCATTGGTTGAGGTAAAGTTGAGACACAACGGCAAAAATCAAATAAAAATCAACACCAAAGATTTTGTAAGTAATTTTGTTTGGTACTAGATGATATTTTTATCAATTTCAAAAGTGGTAGTTATTACTGTAATTTATACCTGATGGGTGTTTTCAATGTGATCAATCGATTAATTCCGAGTCCTGACGGAATGGCTATGATTATTAGGTCAGCTCAATCTGTCAATGTTGCGATTGTTTGACTTTTGGCTGTGTCTTTACCACCTCACTTAGCATAGGGTCAATTAGCTTACTAGTAAGGGATTTAAGTGAAAGTCTCAATGCATTGTTGACGATCCAAAATTTAATCCAGATTTGTGCAGATTGCATTTTTGCAAGGGTTATGCTTTGCTCCGATTTTCACTACGGTGCCTGTTTGATTGAGTATTTTGTTCAAAATTGAATACAATATTGAACAAAACACTCAATCAGCTGTTCGCCAGTCGATGGATCGGAGCAAATGTGACCCAGGCATAACCTAGATTAAAACTGTGATGTAGGCAATATTGACTTCTTATGTTATACACTCCCTTCACTAATACAGAAGTTTGAGAAACAGAAGTCTCCATTTTGTAGCATGTTAAAGACAATTATGTTTGAATTTTAATTTTGTTTCCATTTTGTAGCGTGTTAAAGACTAGGCCCTATTATGTTTGAATTTTAATTAGTTTCTTTTACAATTGGTCACATGATTCAGAAGGGGGCTTAAATTAAATTCGAACATGACTGTATTCATGCCTTCTATAAACTGTAAAGTCAACATTTCATCCAGGATATATTCGCGAAGAATAACCCTGGTAATATGTGTAATGTGTGATGTCATAATGGCAGGTTGTAGTAATGGCTGACCATAATGAACATTCAAAACATTTTGGTGAGTTTTCGTAATATAGACCTCGGAGCAGGGTAATATCGTTGAATACACCCCTTAGGCCTAGGCACAAAAGCTTTTAGACCCCTCACTCTCTTCGGTCGTTCGGGGTACAGAAACGTTTGTGCCTAGCCCTACGGGGTGTATTCGACAATATTACCCCTGCTCTTCGGTCTATATTTCTTATAAATATAGATTATCAGTAATATAACAAAACAACAATTTTTTCAGTTGTTGACTGTTATATATTTTTAATGTACAATTGTTTCTTTTTTACATTATACACAACAGTGAGGGAACAATGTTATACCCAAGAGACATACTACTATTAAGAAACTACTTTAAATTAAAATTATTTAAACATAGTTTGTTGTTCATTTTGAATTGAATGGATTTCTCAATTGGAAAATAACATTTTACTGCTTAGCTAAATTGAAGACAGCTTATTTAATTAATCATTTCTGATTTTTTTGATTAAAATTTAGACTGAATAATTATTAATGTGTTTTTTTAATAAGGAAAGTACATTCTCCTATACCCAGATACAAGGGGAATACATGTAGCCATGATCTAAAATAGGTGAGGAAAATTTAAATAGGTGAGGCAAATTTAGAATTGGTGGAGGCAAATTTAAATAAGTAGGAACATGTACACTACCAAGGGCTATATGTGTTTCTAAATGTCAACATTCAACAAATGTATTTTATTGCGTTTGAGTCACGTAGTACGAATTAGCAAGAAAATGATTTCTATTTGGTCGTTTAACGTTATGAAAATAGAACGGTAATTGTGAATGCAGTATTACTGAGTGAATGGTGTATGTATTCGTGAATAAGATCACTTCGGCTCTAAGCGGCGAGATAAACTAAGTAAATGTCTTTAAAATGTAACGAAAATTTTTCGGACAAACCTTTTTCCTTTAACCTCAATTGTTGAGGATTTCAAAGATTTTTAGCATCATGTTCTCAACAGAATAATAATAATGGGCATTAATGAGTGTGTGATGCTAAAGATAGAAAGGGTTTTACAGGTGGTCGGAAATTTTTTAATTTTGAAAATGAGATTTGTTATTACTACATTATCGAGTAAGCTAATCAATTGTCCAATTGTCAAAAATTAACATTTTTGTATATTTTCCAGCGGCGACGCAGCCGCAGAGCCAGATTTTGGCAACCAGCATGTACATACGATAACATTATTGTACAAATAATACACTCGGTTTTTCTGCAGCACGCAGCCGCAGAGCCACATGCTAGTAAATGTTATGTTTCTTAAGTGTAAGTTAGAATAGAATGATACTTCATAAATAGATACACTATAATATACATCAGTAGTGTATGTTTTGTATTTACATGATGGTGACTTATATTGTCCATTGTCTATATCATAGTTACATATTAAAATATAAATGGCATGCATGACATGTCTGCTATTGACTCACATAATGTCCTACCAACTTTGAAGTAAAATATAAGGCAACACAGGGCTATCATGCTAGGTTGTAGTGGGAACATTTCAGTGTCAATCTTTTCTTCCCAGCTCTCTCTAAATGGATTCAGAGGTTTGAGCTCCTGACCAAAAGTTCTTCCAAAATCATGCAGTTTATCAATATTTTGAGCACTTTTCGTGTGATTTACGCCAATTTTTTTTGAAACTGATCCCCCTTTGGCAAAACCTAACGAAAGCCCTGCAATGTATATAAGGTTGACACTTATATGATTTTACTACGATATGTTATATAATGTTACTGACCTTTTAACATTTAGCCCTATTACAATGTCACTGGTTACAATTTTCTCAACTTCTTAATTAAAAAAATCTACAAAATATGCATACATAGTACACAAGTTCGATTGCTTACAAAATAGTCCATATTAAATCACATGATGAGTGTCATTTTGTGTTCAATGTGTCAGTCAAGGGTAAATTTTATTGAACATGTTGAAGCTTATTTGGCCAATGTTGTATTTGCTCACCATACTTTTGTAAGTGTTAACCTGAAAGCATAATTTGTTGGCCTCAGTGCCATTTTGGTCTTATATTGTATTTCTTCGGTCCAATGCTAACTTGTGAGGCCTTCAAAAGCGATGAAGGAATTTTTGGTTGATTTTAAAAAAGTATTCAAATAATTAAAACAAAATCCCCCCACAATTGATAAAAATCAAGATAAACCTTTTATTTCATTAACAAGATACTTTTTTTTTAAATCAACCCAAATTTTCATTGAACAATTACAATATTAAGAGACCTAAACATGTCGTGTTTAGGGGTCAACCCAGTTGTCCGAAACCCAGTTCTCCGAAACCTAGTTCTCCGAAAATTAGGGTATCTTATTTGAAAAATACAATTTTTTTAAACGAATAAGATCATTTAGACATATTTTTAAACGAATCTCGTTGTCGCAACCTCTGCGAATCACAACATAACATTGGAATAACGTTGACATCATTGCAAAATTAGGCTAAATATGCTAAGTCAAGACGTTAATTCTTTAATGTTTAGCCTACGAAAGTTCATATACAGGTGATATACATGTTCAAACAAACAAAGTTAAATTATGTTATTCTCATTGTAAAATGGCGTTTACACAACATACATAGATAGGGGTCTACAATTTTTAAACCAATTTTCTTTATGGCCCATGGGCCTTTTTTGAGAGGGAACAACATTTTTCCAATGGGTGATGAGCGTTCATAAAAGGAAAAATAGCTTTCCCAAGCCAGTGGGCATTTATTTAGTAAAGTTGACATGTACATCTTTTGAAACCAAAACTTATTCTTCATTTACGTACTCTGTTCGAGAAATAGAGATTAAATTAAAAGGATGAAGAGAGTACATGCCATTTTGATACGGGGACAGCCTGCCTTTGTTTCCAGTTGATCCCAGGTGATTAAGTTAAGAATGTTTTGTTCTTTTACGATTTGATAAAATACAGAGACTAAGAAATTAAATGCGACGAAATATTTTGACAACGTAATATGTATACTGTTTTATGGGGGGGGGGCTTTTATTCTTAAAGTACTATTAACTTATTTTATCTGTTTCAAAATGATTCATTTTATTTTGCCTATATAAAAGAGATTGAAGAAGATAAGATAAACTGTTCCGTAATATATATTGTGTTTTGATAACCTTTTTTTAAAATCACAATGTAAAATAAATCCCCCGTTCCTGCCATTCTGGTAACGCGTGCAATGGATGCAATTCAAAGTGAGAGAGAGAGAGATCTATGAACATCAGAATGCGTCCATGCCATTAATTTGGCCAAATACATTGCATGAAACCGGCCTAAGCTTAGTACGTCTCCCCTTTCTCTGGTAAATTATGACTATATTTTTCGGAGTGATGGGTTTCAGACAAGTGGGTTTCGGAGAACTGGGTTTCGGACAACTGGGTTTCGGAGAACTGGGTTTCGGACAACTGGGGTGCACCCAAAATTATATTGTAACCGTTCAAAGGATGACCATTCAATTGACGAGGGTAAATTGACGATGTGTTAAGTTTTTAGATTTTTTTATGACTGGTTTAAGAGAAACGTGTGTTCAAAAAGTTCTCCATATCGATATTCCAAATTTTTGATCAATTTATACAATTGGAAAATAAATGTAGTATCAAGAAAATGTAAACGTTGCTTAGATGAAAATGACACATATGAACACTTTTTTGAAAAATGCAGGAAAGCCAAAACTTTGTGGAAAAATATAAAACAAAATTGAAGATTAAGTTTTGTAAATGTATTCGATTAACTGCAAAACACATAGTCAAAATTATTGTAGTTAGTCAGAGCGATTACGTAATTGTTTATGAACTGGTGCTCTAGTAAGTTGAATTCAGTGTGGGAAATTTTTACGCAAATACATATCCCGTTTTTGCGATTTTGACGTTTCGCGGTTATCAATTTTCGCTCATTTTTAGTGTGTTGAAATTTAGCGGCCATATTCATAGGTACGAAAATTTTCGAACGGAATGCGTGACATATACGTAATTCGCGTGAAAAGTCCGAACGAAATGCGTACGTTTTTTTTCGGCGTTCGTATTTTTGCTGTGTAGACGATATTTTTTAGAAATTTTTCTACAGAAATATTTTTGCTTGACAATTACCAGGTAAAATGCGTATTTGCGTGACATTTTCTGTCACGCAAAAATAACTGGCGTGACTTCAAATTCTTCAGCAAATGCGTGACAAATACGCAAATTGCGGGACAGTTGACAGGCCTGCTATCCACCTACGTGGAACATGATACAGTCATTGAAGGGTTCAATTTTAAAGATTATTTAATCTCAAAATAGCGCAAATTATTAACATTTCTACAATTTCGGCTTCATTTTATGATTAGACAGATGACAGATCCATAAATAAAGGCATATGGATGCATTTTAATGCGCAATGACCCGAGGGCGGCCCATGGGGAATAAATAACCAACGACCGCCAGCATAGGTCCAACAAGCCAGATAAAGAAATTGAAAGAAAGTGTGCTAAATTCGATGCCCCGAGTGGGAATCGAACCCAGCTGGGATGTATCAAGGGTCATTACAAATGCATCTATAATTCATCATAAATTAAGGTTTAATAAACTAAGATAAACTAAACTAAGGTAAACTAAGAACTTTAAAATTGAACCCTTCAAAGACTGTTTCATGTCCTACGTACGTAGGTAGGTGGGTATGAGGTAGGAGTTTTTTTTTATACAAAGCCCAAAATAACAAAGGAAGAGAGGTTTTGGTACAAATTAGACTTTAAAAATGATAAATCCCCAGGATCAAACGGATTCACAAGTGAAGACGTCTTCTTGCAATTCTTGCGTTTGGCCTACCAAAAATGAAAAAGCCTCCTTACCAGTGTCACACCTCCCTTTATTTTTTTCTGCACAAGATTTTCTAGTATAGTTGTATTAGGCCTATGTATAATGTAAATGAAACAAATGGGCTATAAACGGCCTAAAAATCATCAAAAAGTTCAACAATACGTCTTGCTGCATAGGGTTTTAGCAATGGTTTTGATT